GCGGGAGCGCCACCACACTCCCAAGCGGCGCACTGTAGCAGTGCGCCACCGGGCCGACCCTCACTAACTCAGTTCTAAAATAAGTATCAACCCCCTGCAATCTCACATTCTGCAAAACCCAAATTTCTCTGCTTTTGTAGTGGGCTTATTTCTCTGGAAATCAGTGGAACAAGATCTCCGAATAGCCAAAATGATAACTGCCTTTCATCTCATTTTTCCTGGCAGCTTAGCCTGAGTCCAAACACATACAACAATTCAATCCTTTTGAAAACATACAAGGATATCAGGACTTCAATATGGTCAATGAAAAAGGTTATGTTCAACATGATATGAAAAAGATTATTCTTTGATACCTACTCACTTTTCATGCAAAAAAGAAAAATGAGCCCACATTTGAAGATCCCCCCCAACAAATAGAATACATAACTAGTTAAATGTTCTAGTTTAAATTGCTTTATTCTGAGTTTAAGTTAACACTTAATCATGAGTAGACGGAAAATTATATTTAAAAGATAGCATTTAACATTTAAAATTAACATTTACTGGAAAAAAAAGTCTATTAATCTGTAGAAAAATAAAATGAAAGATGTCCAGGAGGAAGAGTGAAAACCTATATCTCTATGTCAAAGCCTCTCAAGTCCACCTTTTGCAATTGTATTTCCTTTGGGAACTCCCTGGAATGGGCTGTGTCCATAATCCTTTTGTCAAATGGGAATCAGATGGCAAGAACTAGAAAAAGGGGAATTTCTAGAGCCCAGCCTAATACATCAGAACAATACCCAAGTGCAATCCTAGGGGAAATAAATACAACTGCACAAAAGCCAAGTTACCATTCAAAAAATAAAACAGTAGAAGATAGGTCATAAATCAACTCATTAAGATGTTTTATGAGAAAAATGTCTCATGGTTTGCCTGGGAGACGTTGATACCTTGTTGCCTGGTCTGGGACGGTGTGAAGCTAGAGCTGGAACTGGAGCTGGAACTGGCAGGACTGGGTTGTTCGGACTTTAAAGAAGAGAAAGGAATCATCAGTAAATTTACGGACATTACACATCTAAAACTGAAAACAGTATTGTTGCTGAAACCATCTTCTGCAAAAAATAGTCTGATACTGCACAGGAAAAATGACTACACATTTCATTATGTCAAAATACTAACACAGGAGAGACATCGTGTCCTTTTTGTTTTCGCACCTTATTTTTATTAGATGCAGAAACAAGCATAGAAACTCAAGGATGATGAGATAAACGCTTGGGTGTTAACATGAGAGAAGGATCTGGCTTTGTTTCCTCTCCTACGTTGACTGCTACACAGATCTCTTTCTGAGAGATACCTTGATTACCCTTTCTGCAATGTTTGATTGACTCAACTGGTTAAAACATAGTGGTAATGAGGCCAAGGTCATCAGTTCAATCACATTATGAGCCCCTTAATTTCACTCTGGTCCAAGGCCATGACCCAACCCCAACCCCATTCATCCACAGTTCACAAATGGAGGCCAGTGTTCACAATGAGACCCAGCCAAGACCCACAAATGAGTCAGGAGGAAATGTTGCCACTATTTAAAAAAAAAAAAAAAGCCTTCAATTCCACCGCCTACGAATGGCAGGGAAAGAGCGTCGTACACACCCCAATCTCTTACTCTCAATGAATTTTCTTCATCTTTTAATACCCAAAACAAGTTTCACATCCTCTTTGACTCGCTCAACTCAGTCCTCTTCTCCAAACCTCCTGAAAATGTACCGGTTGGATCACCTGTTTCCTTATTAGATATGCTGCAATATTGTGCTGCCTCTAATGTGTCTTTTCTCCTCAGACAGACTGCAGATTCTGCACTTGTAAAAGCAGGGGTCTGTCCTGTGCTTCTTGTTTTCCTCTCATAGTCAGCATAATGCATTGCATACAGCAGGCACTCTGTGACTGTGACTAAAGGCAGCATGCACATTAGGCCCTCTCTTCCACCATCTGCCACAGTAAGAGACTTTGTAGCAGGTAAAGATAGGTAGAGCAGACACATGGACAGAAAGTGTACAAAGAAACTGATTGTACCACCAACATACTCGAATTTTACATATCTAAGGCCAAATTTATTCTAAAATATTTTAATGTTGACAAATTTGGTTGTAAGAGTAGACTATTTCTATCCCTTTTCTAATGTGCTCATAGTCTCAACTCATGTTATTTGAGAAATATTTGAGGATTTCTCATGTATAGGACACATCTATTTACTTCACTGAATAGGCGACCCAGTTGGAGAACAAACTAAGAGCACATTCAGAAGCCACTAAACAAGGTGCAGGGAAAGTGAAGGAAAATGGTCAGGGCCCCTCAGATGTTCAGAATCTTGCTGAGTATTTGATGTAAATATACATGTGTGCCCAGGTGTTCCTTGGTTATTGTCTGATGTAGATACATGCGGACACCCAGGTGCCCTGCATTATGGACTTACGTATAAAGGACAGTGGCTCTGATCCACGGGGGTTCCCTGCCCCTGGGATGCCCCCAGGGGGGCTACGGGGAGGCCACTATTGCTGCTGGAGGCTGTTGCTGCAACTGTTGCTGCCAGTGCCTGCAGATGTCCTGAGAGCCTACCGCCACTGCTACTGCTGCTGCAAGCTGCTGCTGCTGAGGATTGAGCTCGTGTCATCTACCAATGGCTCCCAGGATCGTTCCCAATTACCTAGCATGGACCTGCATGTGAGGGGTCTGGTGAGCTAGCCTGGCATGTGAGGGCTCTGTGACCCAGTCTGTACAGTATGTTTGAAGGGTCTGAGTCCTAGACCTGACAATACAAACGGAAACTTAGTGTAACTAAAGTAATGAAATATTTTGGCTTTAGTTATGAATTGCTTAACAATATATTTGGCTATGATGGCAGGAGTCCGACAAATGCCTAGCCATACAATTAGCGTAGCCATGGCTGTAACCCTTAGCTTTACACAAGGATAAGAATCTCATTTTAGTTTATATTGCAGTTTCTCATCACTGATTTTTTTCATCTTGCCTACCAGCACTGAACTCCCACCCCCTTCTTCCTATGCAGCACTTCTCCCCAAGCTGCAGCAACTTGGACACAAGGAATCACTTTCAGGCATTCCTAATGCACACTTCACATCCTCAGGCTGGATGGGAAAACAGGTGTCAGCAATCCACCACTCATTCTGCAGGAAAAGAACCAGACAGGATCTCTAATGAGCAGCAGGCAGCTCACCAACACTTCACCACTGCAAGATTTACTCGAGAACTGTAGTACAATGTCCTACACATTGCTGGCCCACAAAGAAGAGTTGGTTTACAAGTACAAATGCCTGTGTGAGGTGCTCTTCACTTTTGTTGAGTGGTTCTTCCACTGTTGAGTTCCAGTGGTGAGTTACACAGCTGAAAGGGCATTCAGTTCGCATTTATGTGCAATGCCCAGCTGTAAAACATTTCTCTCAGAGTCTGCAGAATATTCCTTTTCCTCTCCAAGTTGCTCTTTTCAGCCATGAAAAGTGCCTACAAACAGTATTATTTTGATAGCTCTGGAAATCATTTGGGAGCCAAAAAAGAGGTTTCCTTACAGTGAGCAGAGAGAGCTCTAATTCCCCATCCTGCCTGACCAGCACACGTTACGCTAGACTTAAAGGAGCTATTCTGCCAGAACTCTTGGCTCAGAGTGACATTAACTAGGATAACTAGAGAGGATGGTGGCCATCTCTCCAACTACCCCACAGTAAACTTGACCCACCTGTCTCAAGCATCTTGCTGATGCCCGAACCAAACCTGAAAGCAGCCTTCTTTCAGCTTCTTACCCATGAACAAGGTTAATATTTCCATAGCTGCTAATCATCAGAAAACTGACAAATAGTAAAGAACATAATACAAGAGAAAAAGGCTTTTTATTCAACATTTATGATTAATGTCCTGCCACTGCCACCAAGCATTTGAGAAGGTTTACAACAGAAGACATTAATTCTATAAGAACATTAAAATAAAAAGCTTAAAGCAAAAAAGCTGGATGAAGAAAGATAAAATGTTGAATGATGGTCACTAAAGCAATGTCCTGGAAGCTTTTAATAGGGTAAGCATTTGTGGAATTTTAGAGTATAGGGGATCTTTGAAATGATCTAAAACAGTGAATCTCACACTTTCATGTGCATTAGAATCACTGGGGAACTTGTTAAAACACGCACTACTGCCCCAGAGTTCCTAATTCAGTAGGTTGAGGAGGAAGGGTGAGTGGCACAAGAACCCGAATTTCTTAAAAGACCCCAGGTGACGCTGCCACTGTGGGTCTGGTGACCACCCACACGTTTGAGAACCACTGACCAAGAACCCAAAGACTATCATGGATATTCATGAGAATCAACTGGGAGAAGTCTACACATGAAGAGATTTTGATTTAATAGGTTTGGAGTGGATATCCAGGCATGTTCATTAAAAGCTGAACATATGATATTAATGAAAATTCCGGGTTAAGACCAGTGATTCTAGGTTAGTCACTTTTTTTCTCAATGCAAAAAATCATGTTTTGGAAAGAATTTAAAATTTAAGAAAGCATAATATAGTTTATGAGAAAAATTAGAAACATATTGATCTATCCAGAGGCAGCATTCCTGCATACTCTTCAAAGAGTTTTGCAAGAAAGTTCCCTGATAGAATAGTTACCACTCAATAGAAACATTTATGAGGCATATACAACCTTGTTGTAGTGGATGGACCTTAAGTAGTTCCACCACTAGAGGAGGCTGACACTGTCTTATATTTCATCAACTTCAAGCAACAGAACTGTAGCTCACTTTACGTGAAGCGTGTTTTTTATTTTTAAAAAAATCAGATTTACCCTTTAAAAAAATCAAGGATGATTATACAAAATAGAAGTTATTTGCTTTACCAAAAAAAAAAAAAAAACCATTCAACATAAACAGAGCTAGATTAAGATCTTTACAGGCCCTAAGAACTGAAAAGATACAGTATCCTCCTTTCCTCACCCCATCCCCTAAGAAACATTTAAAGAGTATGTTGTGTTTATGTGTGTGCATATGTGAATGCTAAGCCAAAGTTAAAAGTAAGGAAGTCCAATGAGGTTCTGATTTTCTCCTTTGCTGACTAATTTGATACTTGTTTTTGAAATACCAAAATTATAATGGCAGCTAATCAACCGTTGGTTGCTACTATTATTTACAATACAAACTCCTCTATTGCCTAAAACAAGATATATCTTTACTTCCAAAACAATGGGCCTACCAAGATTTGCAGTGCAATCTGCAACATTAAATGCCTATGCAAAATCATTTTGTAATGGATTTTCTACAGAGGATCACTTTTGTCCAGGACAAGTAAAAAACACCACTTGTCTACAACTCCTAAAAGTTAAGTGTTTCAAAAGAGAACACCTGTCTAGGTAGATCACAGGAGAGGACAAAAAAAAAAAAAAAACCATTCAACATAAACAGAGCTAGATTAAGATCTTTACAGGCCCTAAGAACTGAAAAGATACAGTATCCTCCTTTCCTCACCCCATCCCCTAAGAAACATTTAAAGAGTATGTTGTGTTTATGTGTGTGCATATGTGAATGCTAAGCCAAAGTTAAAAGTAAGGAAGTCCAATGAGGTTCTGATTTTCTCCTTTGCTGACTAATTTGATACTTGTTTTTGAAATACCAAAATTATAATGGCAGCTAATCAACCGTTGGTTGCTACTATTATTTACAATACAAACTCCTCTATTGCCTAAAACAAGATATATCTTTACTTCCAAAACAATGGGCCTACCAAGATTTGCAGTGCAATCTGCAACATTAAATGCCTATGCAAAATCATTTTGTAATGGATTTTCTACAGAGGATCACTTTTGTCCAGGACAAGTAAAAAACACCACTTGTCTACAACTCCTAAAAGTTAAGTGTTTCAAAAGAGAACACCTGTCTAGGTAGATCACAGGAGAGGACTTGAAAAATCTGACATTGTTCCTTACACTGGGAACAGACTTCCTTCTTACGTAAGAAGTTCTCTTTTCTAATGGG